TGCAATGAATGGACTCTCTACAAGACCACTTTGTTTACTATATCTGAGAATAGGCTTATCATAATCCAAAGACAAACACACTTAAAACCAGAAAGAAAATGCATAGAAATAACAAATGGAAAAATGTATGGCTCAAATCGCATAAACTATTGTAAGACATCACAGAAAGTCACTGACGAGAGACAGCATATAAATTAATTGCGAATGAAAGTCAGGTGCTGTTGTTTAGAAAAGCCACAGCTTTGAATGCTGATACACGTGTGCAGAATAGGCTGAACAAATAGTTGTTTCTGATGCTTTAAGAGCTCAAATAGCTCATGAGCCATACTTTGTCAAATTACAGATCATGGATCGGAGGGGTTGAGAGAGAGAGAGAGAGAGAGAGAGATCAACAAACATCTTTCTTTGTGCTTATTGGTTCTTTTATCTAGAGCTTCGGGGGGCGGGGTGGGGTTGCAGTCGGCAGTGTCACTTTCAGTTCTGTCATTTGATGTATGTATAGAAGTTAATGCATACAAGTCTGACTCAAACATTGTGATATGGTGTTTATACAGACCATTGCATATTTCTAGATTTCTGGTTTTGGCAAATTCTTTTGACCAATAACTGGCCATCATTGGTCAGCAATTGATCATTCTCTGGCAAGCCTTTGCACTTCCTGTTTGCATCACATGATTGAATGAGGGAAATGCAAACAGTGGAGACTGCAGTACAGTGTTGTGCATGTCCCAAAAAACCGACAACTGTAAAACACTTCACTTTAACAGCATATTAAAAGACAGTTTCCTGTGTGATATATAAAACTGAACTCAGTGGGCAACGCAAACATCAGGCAAGAGTATGAGAGAGAAGGAATGAGATGAATATATGCTCCATCCACAGCAGAAACTTGACATGGGGAGATAATAGTGTCTTATCAAAACTACCAATCTAACCTGAAAAACAGTGCATCATTATCTGATTTCATCCAATTCTGTTTTAGTTTAGCAGATAGAATAATCTGCCCTGGCTGAAGGAATGAGATATATTTAGAAACTTGGTCTACACCGCTTGGCAAAACTACATGGTTATCAGCATTGGTTCTACACTTAATGGACACAGACTAGATTAGACGATGGTGTAGGGGTGCATTAGTGCACATGGCATGGGTGACTGGCACATCTGTGAAGGCACCATTAATGCTGAGTGATATGTACGTGTTTTGGCAACATATGCTGCCATCCAGATGACATCTTTTTCAAGGAACGCCTTGCTTATTTCAGCAAGACCGTGCCAAACCACATTACGCACGTATTTGCAACAGCATTTTTCCGTATTAAAAGAGTCCGGTCACCACTGTAAACATTTGGCACATTATAAAATGAAAAATACGATAAAGAAGACCCTGAACTGTTGAGCAGCTAAAATCCTATTTTAAGCAAAAATGGGAAAAAATTTCACTTCTAAAACTACAGCAATTGGTCTCCTCAGTTCCCAAATGCTTACAGAGTGTTGTTAAAAGAAGAGGTGATGAAACACAGTGGTAAACATGCCCCTGCCCCAACTTTTTTGGAACGTGTTGTTGTCATCAAATTCAGAATGGGCATATATATTTTTCAAGAAACACTAAAATTTCTAAGTTTCAACATTTGATTTGTTGTCTTTGTTCTATTTTCAATTAAATATAGGGTTTAAATGCTTTGCACATCATTGAAATTTTGTTTTTATTTACATTTTGCACAGCATCCCAAATTCTTTGGAAATGGGTTGTTGTTTTCTGGGTTTTAGCCTTTGTTCCACACTAAAACAGAGCTTTAAGTTAAAAATAAAAATGTATATATTTGACAATGCAGATATCGTGTGCATGTTTATTGCTTTTTCACATTTGATACGCTGCTTTAGGTCTCTGTAGGTGACAGGCTGATCACTGAACTATTAGTGTGTGACCTGTAATATCAAATTTCATAACATGTTATCGACTGTGCAGAAACTTTTTAGTTTATTTTTGATTATCATTAGAGGAGAAAATCAGCCTGTCTTTAGCTTGGATGTCTTGTTTCTTTATTGTTTCTGCACCTTTTTTAGATTTTAGAAAATATGACAATACAGGGTAGGTATGTCATAATTTTTTTACAAGGAAAATAATCCTTATATTTTAAAAGGTTGAATGAAACATTATTGACTGGCTGATATTTGCAGTTTTTGTATCCAAGCTAACTGATTAATCAAAGTTGTAATAGACCAACTAATCAATTATGAAAATAGTTGTTTGTTGAAGCCCTACACTGTTGTGCTTCATATATTCAATGTCTTATGTAGGTGTTTCATGCTAACTCTGCAACAGCAGTTTGGCTTTTGTCCCAGTGAATACATCATTTTGCATGTTCCTGATTGCTGACCTGTAAATGATGCCTACGGGTAGTTGTATCTGAAAAAACTGGCCTGAACTTACGCAAGGATATATTTCAGAAAGCACTATGGAATGCTGTAATGCTACAGTTTTCAAAAATATTAAAGAAATACCATAAACTTTTTCTTCTTTTTTCTTGTGTTGTAATCATTATCAGAATGTATGAAAACTTTTTTTTTTAGTTATTCTTTCTAGCTTAGTGTGAAATCTGTACAAGTATCTTTTGATTTGTACTGTAAAGTACAAATCAAGAACATTTACCTCTTAGAAACACTTCACACAATAGCACGGAGTTTATCACAGAGACGTGCAAGCGTAGACCAAAGAGGCTGATTTTGAATGCTAGTGAATAAATTGAAGTGTTCTTGCTTTCAAAATTATGGGAAACTGTACTTAAACTACAATAGTAAATATTTTAAAAATACTAGGGCTGCAACAGATATTTGATAATATTTGATAAATTTAATGATTAAAGTACTTGAAAATGGAAACGTCATTTGAATAACCATGTTTACAACTTTTATGAACCCATGCTCTTCTGTGGCAAAGCAGATGCTGGTTTATCAAGCCAAATACCAGTTGCCAGCTCTGCACACTGGCCACTTTGGAAACTGCGATTTAGCACAGCTTGCAAATTCTTGTAGTTTGAGGCAACAGTATTAGTCTCAGAGCTAGCAATCATGCTCTAGTAGTTAAGTTTTATTAAAAATCTAATTAAATAGATATTTATGCAACAGTACAATAATAATAATAATAATAATAATAATAATAATAATAAAAATAGTTTACTACTGCAGTGTCCACTGTTTTTAATAGCCACCAGCCACAACAAAGGTTTGAAGGTTTCCTATCAGACGTGCTTAACCTTTGTGACCAGTCTGTGTTGCTGGGCTTTGTGTCGGCTTAATCCTTTAATGCATAATATTTGTCTGACGGGCCATGGGAGGCTATTTCGAAATCTGGATTTTAAAACAGGATTGTGGCTATAACAGCAACAACTACATTGTGGATTGTACCCTGTAAAAATCATTGTAAGCACTCTGATATATATTTTAGTGAATTTAAGAAAATTTATTAAGTGCTAAGATAAGAGATTAGATACTTAAGTATGACAAAAATGGTGCGTTCATCTTAACAACTAACACTTGAACAAATCAGGTTTTTCCGCTGCAACCCATTTTGATATGCTGTTTAATATTATTAGCCACAAGAACAGCAACAAGATTGCTTAAAATAGCAGTTGATACTAGAATGAATTGTTTGTAGGTTGACTGTGATAAAACTGTTCTGTTCACTGTTAGCTGACCTACATATGCTCACATGCTGTGTCTGTTGAAAAGAAGACAGTCTGTCCCACATTTGGTCATTACTGTTGATCTCTAGAATAACTCACATTAGTAGGTGAAGTAAAATGGTCTTTTTTATGAGAATATTGAGGCACGTCATAGATTCACTCTGTCAGATGAGTTCAGAAAATGACACCAGTCAAGTCAGGACACAGTTTACTCAATTTTTTTGCAACAAATAAACACTAACAAGGTGATACCATGAACATTTTTGAAAGATTTAAAAAATAATTGAATCAGTTCATGAGGTCAGCAGGCTATGGTTACATGCAACACACAACACACAAAATAGATTTCTCGCAACAAATTCCCAAGAAAACAAATCTGTGGGAACGTGGACACATACTGTACATGGGTACATAAGTGAGTATATGTTATGTTTGCCTACAGGCCAGTAGTTCTCTGTCGCATACGCTGCTTTCTTTATTCACTACGCATTTTTGTGTTTTCCCTGCTCTAATGCACCTCATCTCATCTGGTAATCTCCAGGCCCTTCATGAGCAGGTGTGTTAGAGCAGGGGAAACATTACAGTCATTGTAATAAAAAGGTTATACACATCTTTATATAAAGATATATTCATCTACAGTACTATGCAAAGTCTGAAACCACCCTTGATTTATTTAATTTACAGTCAAAAAGGCCATATCATACAAATTATTCACTTTTCAGTGTCGGGAAAGAGCAGAAAACATTTAATAAAAAAAATCACACAAAAGCCTATACAAATAAATATAACTGCAGTTTTTTTCAGTTTTTACTGTGTCCACTGTTTGCCTTCATTACAGCTTTCATTCTTTTAGGAAGAAGACAGTTTTCAAAGAAATCTGCAGGGAAGGTTTTCCACACCTCTAAAGTTAAGTCTTAGGAATTGGTTGCCTTCTCTGCTTCTCACAATTCAAATATTCACTTTTAGTGATGTTAAGGTCTGGGCTCTTGGGTGAGTAGTCTATTGTTCTGAGAAGACCAGCACATTCTTCTTTTTTAAACCTATTTCCATTCCTCAGTAATGGCTTGTTGTCAGCTACACATCCGTTCAGATCCGTGTTGAGTTTTTTTTTGTTAATGTTGCTATATCTTTGAATACTTTTTGGATGTTTTGGAGCTTTTTTATCCCCCCACTTTTTTCCTTTGACAGTAGAATATCTTACAGCTTATCTCTTCAGAAATATCTCCTGAAAAATAAATAAAATAAATAAAAAAAAACAAAATAACTTGTACTTAATGGCCATTTTGACTGGAAATTAAATGAATGAAGGGTGGTCCATGATTTTTGCAAAGTACTTGACGTTACTGTTGTGAAGGAGTACAGATTAAATGCACATGTGCAGGAGCACAGTGATGGGTTAGGCTATACTCTATACAAGTGCAAACTAGCTTCACAGTTCTACAATGCATATTCAGTAACTTTTTCCAGTAAACCCAGGGAATATTTTGATATGTATAACAGTAAAGGTCTGTTCTAACATCTCCATAGGATTTACACACAAGCAAAACAACCCAGAGATTCAATCTTAAACAGATTTCCTCTGACAGTACATCTGTGTTCTGTTCAGCAGCTCCTGATAGATTTTTGATCGCAGAAACCGAGGGTAGGAGTCTTTCTCCATTAGGCTGTACACCTTTGCTTGGATCTCATTAAGACTGGAGGAGGTCGGCTCCAGAAGCTTCTGTTTGGTCTCTTCCCTTGTCCGGAAATCTATATTAACCTTTATGGAAGGTAAAGAGGCAAGTGCAGTTCAAATTAACTTCTATGAAAAAAACTGTATAAACTGTGAAAGAGGCATTTAAAATCTTCAAGTACAGAACGTATAGCGACCTAAACAAATCTACAAAATTAGGAGAGACACATTTGGTGGGTTGACTCTGCATACCTCTTTAGGTGCTTGAACATCAATAAATTCCTTGTAGATCTTGTTGGCTTTAGACACCAGCTTTGCAGGTGATTTAATCTTTTTATAGTCCTCACAAGCTAACCAGAACTCAATGTTCTCATCACTGAACTCCGTTTTAAGGAACGCTCTGAATGCTGCCAGGCCATCTGCAAAACAAATATGCACTTTATTAAGGAAGTATAAAGACATTGCAATTTAATCTAGAGATCTTGGACAATTAATGTTCATACGACCCCTCAAAACTCCATCAGATTAATGCAAGATTATACTTTTGCATTTAGACCAGGCTATATTGGTTACAGGAAATGCTCACAAGGGCACAGCTGTTATTGTTCTCATTTGTCTATATGACATCTGTGACAGCGTGTCAGGAGGGCATGTTTTGCCACTTGATTTTCTGGGGTTTTGTTATTTCCTCCTCATCCGTCTTTACGCAGGAGGTTGTTTGTTTAGTTTGTTTAGCATCCCAGCATGTGGATTGCTCATTATTTCCCATTATTAAGGGGAGTGCTACTCCAGCATTCATCAACCATAGATTTTTTTGTTCTTTTGGAAGTGGATCCCAGCATGTGTGTAACAAACACTGATCTTATGTAAATGTGATGTGAATTATTCAAACATTCTAATACTCACATCATTTTAATAGTTCAGTCTGGTATTTCCTGGTAATAGAAATACCAGCTGGTAGAACAATAATATGAGATTAGAATCCTATATTTTCAATAGGCTATTCTCAGAAAATATGAATCATTTCCCTGTAATATTTCTGTACACGTTATATGTTGCATGCCTTCTTTCAGGACAAAGGCATACATCCTATGCTCTTGGGCTTGTTTATAAGGAGCAGTTTGTCCAGATATATTAAAGCTCATACAAATGGCAGAGCTGGTAAATGTAATTATAGTGCTGTTCAGAAGATTCAATAAAAGGACAATCAAGAGGTGAGAACAGCAGCATTGTGTCCCCTGGCTACCAAAGGAACAAATAGTACTGTTTGCTGTAGCCTCTGTTAAAGCTTCATAGACCCAAAAGGCAGGACCTCACACAAATGAAATCAATGACTTCTTTGCCAATGTCTGCATTACTAAAAGTAAAATAAAAATACTGCATAAAGGAAACTGAGGCTTGACCTAAGTGGACTCGAAATAATGTCAGTCATAGGAATAATCACTGCAGGATATGCAGGCCTTGCAGATTTGGTTGGGTGTATTAAAAACAAAATGATTTTTCTTATATGTGCAGTTTGCATTGGATGTTCCTCAAAAAATGTCTCAGCAGTTTATTCCAGACATATGTAGAAACACAACCATTTAGTAGGGGTAGAATGTAACCGATTATTGTATACATAAGATTTCACACGTTATCACTCTTTTGGTGGCTGTAACGTGGTCTTGAAGCATGTAAATAACCGACAGTAAAAGATATCTATGCTGTCACTGCCTTCACGTGGTGAGGTTCGTTTTAACATGTGTTATAAGAAAGTGTACAAAAGTAAATGATTGGATGTTTGTGTACCCCAATATAAATTCACAACAGGATTTTTTATATTTTATTCACAGGTACACTGTATGACCAAAGATATGTAGATTCCCTTCCAAATGATTGAGTTCAGGTGTTTCAGCCACACTCATTGCTAACAAGCGTATAAAATCAAGCACATAGCCATGCAGTCTCCATAGACACCACTGGCAATAGAATGGGTCATACTGAAGAACTCAGCAACTTTAAACATAGCACTATCATAGGATGCTACCTTTGCCACAGGTCAATTCATGACTGCCCTGCTAGATCTGTCCCGTTCAACTGTAAGTGCTATTATTGTGAAATGGCAGTGTCTAGGACCAGCAACAGCTCAGCTATGAAGCAGTAGACAACGCAAATTCAGAGTGGGGCTGCCGAGTGCTGAAGCGTGTAAACATCTTTTGCTGCATCATTCACTACTGAGTTCCAAACTGCCTCTGGGAGCAACATAAGTGCAAGAACTGTGCATTGGGAGCTTAATGAATGAGTTTCCATGGCTGAGCAGCCTAAGATTGCTGTGCACAATGTCAGTCATTGGCTGGAGTGGTGTAAAACACGCCGCCACTTGACTATAGAGCAGTGGACACGTTCTCTGGAGTGATGAATCACACTTCACAGGCTGCCAGTCTGATGGGCTAATCTGGGTTTGGCGGATGCCAGGAGAACGCTATCTACTGAAATGCTACCTACTAAACTGGTTTGATATTGAAAAGTTTGGTGGGGGACAGATAATGGTCTGGGGCTGTTTTATGTTTGGGCTTGGCAATGCTAATGCTACAGCAGGCAAATACATTTTGGATAATTAATTATGTGCCTCCAACTTTATGGCAATGGTTTGAAGAAAGACCTTTCCTCTTTCAGCACCGCTTTACACAAAGTGAGGTTTATAAAGATATTATTTCACAAGTTTGGTGTGTGGAGGAAATCCAGTGGCCTGCATAGAGCACTGACCTCAATGAGTCATGTTTAATGCATTTATTTTTGTGTTTAGGTTAAACGGCTTGTCTGGTTAAAATTATAGAATTATACTAATAATTGCATTTGTGTAAACTTGCTAGTCTTTTTTAGTGATTGTTAATGCTAGTTTTAACATTTCAAAATGCCAGTCTCACCACTTTTAAGTTCATCTCAAACTTTAAATGTGGAAAACAAAGTTTCTGTTTTCATTTTTAGCAGAAATGTGCAGGTTGCTTATATATAAAAACCATCTTGCTCTAATATGTTTACAATTATTGAGCAAAAAACAATATTTTGTGCCCTGCTGTCTCCTCCTGTCCATATTTCACTGGCTTTGTCTGTGAGATCAGGTTTTTGATTCATTTATAGGTTGTAGTTAACTTTTTGAAGACATAAGGATAAAGGTGCTCTTCTCCAGGTCCCGTGAAATATATAATTTCTGCTGTTGGCTCTACCTGTAACCTGTTGGCCATAGTTCAGGTAGAGAGGTTTTGCCATACATAACACGGTGATCTACATAAAAAAAAAGTTGTCCCTTGCATTTCATAGTTCACAGTGTTACCTGCTTTCCATTTACAGTCATATGCAGAAGTCTGGCTGCCATATTTTGTTGATTTTCTAAGTGAAAAAAAGTGCATGTCCACTACAGAGAACACACTTTAAATTTAATGTTTTATTTGTTCCAGTGTGTTAATTCAGTAAATGAATAGAAATTGTGCACTAAAAAGTTGGAATTTTAAAAAATGATTTTGTTTCCTGTAGAGGATGTTCTAACTTATTTTCATTTAGAAAATCAACATGTAATTTGACCAGGGATGCCCAAACATTTGCATACGACTGTATATGGAAAATTCTAAGGATTTACTTGTAACACCACTGACCAATGCTTAATGCAGGCTTTGAGAGATTCTAAGCCATCTTGTAGTGTGATCTTTGCACAGCAAGAGGCTATTTGTGGTTTTTCTGCGCTGTCAATGAGGTGTGAGTACGAGGAAAAGGACACAGACCTGCTATTCTAATTGATGCTGGAGACAGACTGAGCAAATTAAATCTGTCATTTTCAGTGAGTTCGGTAGTGAAGATCGCTGCCAAATCCATGAGTCAGTGTGAAATGAAAAATCCTCTACATCAATATAGAGAGTGAGCTTCTTATGTAAGACAAGTAAACAACCCAGGAAAGAACCAAGTAGACAAACGACTGTCATATCTCTGTTGCTCTGAAAGATCTTTTAAAAATTGAAGAATCGTTCCGAACCTTATTACATGTGCTGACGGAAGTGTAAATAAATTAGTTACACTATAACTTTTTTCAGTCCCATTAATGCATTTTTCTAGTTGGATCTATCAGACTGTTCATAGTTCCAGCCTGAAGCCCAGCTTATTAAGCACTGTACGTTGCTATGACATTGCAGCTGTAGCTCTCTCGTTCAAATACAGCTTTAGAGTTCCACCGGTGGATAAAACCGAAGTTATTTCTAACTACAGCAGTTCTGTAAATTTGTATATCACTGGGGTATATTGAGCTACTTTATTATACTTCCAAACATAACACCCCACAATATCAGGGCAGACTATGCTGCAGAGTGCTTGCACAGGGGGTCTGTGAATAAATTAACAAATGGCAAAGCGATAGCAAAGTGGAAAACTACAGTTTCCCTCACTATAGGATAGAACAGTGGTATGAGAGCAGGAGGGCTACAGTCCCGGAGGAGCTGGAACTTGCATTCACTGTTGCAGGGTGTCTGATGACAGTTTGGAAACTATGTTCACCCTGTTTTCATGTTGAGCCTGCATTCATGTGGATTTTGTTCAGTCCACGTGAACCCAGCGTTCACACAATGAAAATACTGTTACTGAATTATTCAAATAAATACATTCTAATGAAACTCATTTTGTCCATTCCTATAGCTATTACTCGATGCACTACTTTTTAAGTGAAAAACATCTCGCTTTAGGGTCAAGTTTGAGCAAGCAGGACAAATGCAGTTAATCGTGATTAACTGCACAAGAGAATATCATTAATCATGATTAACTGTTTTAATTTTGACATCCTAGTATGAATAAATAAATGTATTCATATACAGTGTTGAGCTGTTAGTTTAGTGTGGTTGATGAGAAATTGGCACAATGTTTCAGAGATGATTAGCATAACTTACACTTGTGTGACAGAAGAGCATCAAATGAATCTGCCCATTTAGTCACTTCATCTGTGGACAACCTGAAAAAAAAAAAAAAACACACATAAAGAAGAAAATCTTGAGTACAGTTCTGCAAATTGGCCTTGTCAATGCAGTCACCTTTTCTGTTTTCATCTGATGAATAGAGTTTATTCATTACATACTTCACTATTCATTACCTAACTGTACTTACTTTAGGTATCTTGTGGACCTCTCTGGCCCAGGAGGCAAAAATTCAGAGAAGTCACTGCAGGAGTCAGATTTATTGGACAGACATCCAAGTCTGGTTTTCATGGTTCTGGATCTAGAAAAATGAAACCTCGTCAGATAAAGACACATAATAGCCCAAGAGACCTCACAAGAGGAGATGTTGCAGGCCAAATGTGTTGAGGTACAGTGATAGAAGAGCATAATTAGATAATTCTAACTTCTAACACTTTATGTACCACTGGGAAGTAAGAGAGTAAATAATACACTGTAGAGCATATCATCAGAGCATATTATTTATTTTTGGTGCATTGGCCAACAGGTTAAATGCCTCACACCAATGAAGGTCACATGATGTTGACTTGGTAATAAGTCATAATGTGCTGCTAATTGAGCATACTGCTTAAAGCAAACAGAACCCAAACTGGGAGCCCACTTTAAGTTTTAATATCAGGTGTAGGTGATGAAGGGGTGTATTTCATAAGCGAAATGGCAAAACCAATCAGCGTGTCTGCTTTGAATGTATTACCAGATAAATGCCTCATTCCTCAATCTAACCTCTGTTTTTGTAGTGAAATTGCAGAGAGCAGTTTGTCAAATCGTAATCGTAGATCGAGCTGCACTTGTAATAATGGGCTCTAACAATGTTGTTGTAAGTTTTAAGTGTCTAGACACAAGCCAGGTGGATACACATATTTTGTTGATTTTCTAAGTGAAAGTAAGGCCTTTTTCAGTCTGCAGGGCTGAACGGTTGTGAGCACGGAGTGTAACCATTCCAGTGGCTTTTCCACGCAGACACAGTTCTACACAGAAAAAACGGGCTCAGTGCAGTTTTTTTTGGCATGGTTTAGCTAACCGTGCTCAGGGCCACTGAACCGTTCGGTGGGATGACTTAGATGTTTGCTGATTGGTTCAACGTTTATGTTATGTTTAATGCTGTAGCCTGTTAGGCTAAGCTAACGCGAGTGTATGGTACCTTGCACCACAGTACACATTCAGTTTCAGCTAAACAGTGCTTAAAAACATCCATTTAGAGGAGATTTGAATGACTGATATTGAAGTGACAGAAATTTAAAAAAGAGAATTGTTCTGATGTGCTTGGCCTATACCCTGCTGGGCAATGCTAATGCTAGCGTAATAATCTGGCCACAGGTTCAACCCACTGTAGTGCAGGCTGAGTTTCAGTAACTGATGCTCAAATAACACCTGTTTAGATGATGAAGAATCTGAGAGGATGCCTAGAGGAAATATATTTGCTATGTATTCCATGGTATCTGCTTGTAAACTCAGTGTTCTGAGTCACAATACAGAGTCACCATGCTCTGTAAATAAGAGTAGTCTTTGACAAAATCTTGAGCAGATCAGAAATTAAATGCAACAAATAATTTCATCATTATGGGAAAAGCACCTGAACATTTATTTTGAACTAGCATTAATTCACTTTCTATTACTTTTGTATGATTTCTGCAACATAAATGTTGTAGAACTGTAAAAATAAGGGTTTATTCACTCATATGGTGTCAGCTCAAATCTAATAATCAAATTATATCAAATGTAGCTTTTGTTTACACTCCAGTGTGATAAAAGGTTACCTACTACAAAAAGACGTTATAACTGTTTTTAAGTGTTTAATACTTAATTTTAAATTTAATATTTAAATATTTAAACATTTTTGCTGTTTTTCTTGCTAAGTATGATGTGTTTGAGGCTTATAGACCTTTACATACATTTAGAAGTCATCTGAAGTTACATGAGTTAGGACTGTGGACTCTCAAACAAAAGTAACAGTCCAGCAGAGGCTGAGTTCAGACAGTGCTGTTTACAAGGAAATGGCAGATTTAAAAACAGGTGTGGCATATTCACATAGAAGATAAATTCAAGCTGTTAATATGGTACCTTTCGAATTAATTTCCATTACACATATAGAGAAGAGAGTGTAAAAAGAGGAACATAAAACAGATAAATGTAAAAATACATTTAAATAATTAAATAAATTGATTGAAGCCATATTTTTAGGTGGCTTTTACTAATCAAATGTCGGTTACATTAGCCGTTCTGAAGACTACATACAGTGGTCCCAAAAGTATTTGGACACTTTAACCGTTGGTAAACTTTAATAAAGTTCTTTAGGTTGTTTCATAAAATGTTGAACAAAATAATATTTGTTTCAGAGCAAAACACTTTTAGCAGGCTGGGGCTGTTTTTCTCACAGTGATATCAGTGAGCTTATGTTCATTGATGGGATCGTGAGCTCAGAAGTGACATTGTGGATGCAAACCTATGGAAGTCTGCCTAGAAATTACTCAAATGATAACAATCTGAAGTATCCAAAAGGCCACTGTATATTGTAACTTACCCTTGGTTTTTGCTTTTAATGCAGTGTCCACTGTGTCCAGGTCGTGTTTTTTTGTGCTGTAACGGCTTTACCTGTGAAAACAATGGAGATTGACCAATTTATAATTGCTGTTAGTAAACACACTGTCCCTATGTTTCTTAATTACTGACACGCCAGATGCCAGTTTCTCCCCCAACACACAACAGCTTAGTCATTTTCACACTCACCTTGTTTTGTTTTTGCGTTCAAGTTCACCCTTTTATAACCCCACCGCACACACGCACATACACACACGCGCACACACGCACACACACATACATAGACAGTTCAAAACATCAGACATACAGTTCTCAAGTCATCTAAAGGAACATTTCCCAGCACAGATAATTCTCATATGATAACTAAGAATGTGGAAGGGTACTTGAGTACTCTAACTGTTCAAGGTGCCAGTATTCCAATAGTGGAATCACTATTCAGGTATTTGTTGCCTTTCATCAAAAAAGACAGAGAAAATATACAGGCCAACAATACAGAGAAATGCCAATTTTATGTTTTAACAGAACTGTAAAAGATTTTGTTCATAATGGCAAGTAAACATGTTATGTTATACTTTACATACTTTACAATGCCCAAGCGCCTTAGTGTGGGCGCATTGTAAAGGATGTTTCGATAAGAATCTGACCAAGAAGACAGAGAGAGTGCAACTTTTATTCATAAATAGGCTAGTTCTGATGTTAGGACCATATTTTTCTGACAAACATGACTAACATATTGGAACATCATCCAAAACAGAGGAAAAACACCTGTAGAAGACAAGTCTACATCAACAGTGTTGTATCAGTTACAGTGTTGTACTAGTTAGCTTATTAGTTCTTCTGTGGCAGCCTCCTTGATGTTACTTATCCTTCTTGAAAACCTGCGTATTTCCCTTGGCTGTTTCTGAATATTAAAACAATATTAAAACACATTTTAAGTCTTTTTTTTAATGTTGTTTTTTTCTTATATGTGGTCAATTGGATATCCGTTCATTAACTCTTAAGAATACTCTAATATAAATATTAGTCGGAAAGCACAGCCCTAATATTAACAAACAGGAGATATAACCTATAAGGTACGTATAATAACCTCACATGTAGATGTAAGGTATTGCTTTTGTATTGCTAGTGTACTCTTAACTTTTTTTCTAATGGTTGCAAAACTGATCTACAAAAATAGTCATCTCTAATTTCTCTAAACATCAACATTTCACCCTTGAGTGAAGAGCACCTCTTAAAGGCCAGTTATATTTTTAGCACAGGTAAAATCCAGTGATATGTTTAGCGCAGATAAAAGTGAAGTGGCTGTTTAATGAGATGACATTTGCATATAAGGTAGACGTCAAACAAGCAATAACCCCTTTTTTGCTTTTATTTTTGGCACAGTTTAAACCTATTGCAAGTAATGGTCAGATTGACAGACCCTTCTCCTTTGCTCAGGTGTTTGTAACCAAAACATGGTCATTTTTTTTTTATTTTCAACAAAATACGGTCCTATATATGCTGCCAGGATTTACAAATCTTACATCAGATTCTACACTTATTATTTACTTTATTTAACATTGTAATTTCTTGATTTTGCCATTTTTCATTTCATTATGTGTAAAATAAAAAAACTGCACTGTAAGTGCCAGCCTTGCTAGAAGTGGTGTTTATGTGTAGTGACTAAAATGTGGCCATTAAGCATATGGTGTGTGTTAATTGGATGCAGTGGCGACTCTGCATGGCCCCACCAGATGCCGCAGTGGAGCAGTGCACAACATGAGCGATAATGTTAGTTACACAGAAAAAAAAATAAAATAATAATATATATTGTTGTTGCGCATTTATACATATGACAGTGGTAGGGCTGTCCAGTACATCCCAAATATCTTCCTGTACCTGTTGTGTAAATGCCAGTAGTCTATTTACTTCTCCCAGCAGTCTTGGTTTGGTGAGCATAGGGCTGGCCTGTCAGTACTCGTCTAACAAAATGAGCAGTTAAAAAACATTCCGCGCATGTTCAAAGCGCTTTCAGTTACCAGCTGTGGGGCAAGATCACACTAGCCCCTTGCTGAGAGCAGCCAATAAAAAATAATTCATTTACGTACATCCAGACGTTTAGTAAACGTTGTTTATGGTATGGGCTAGTTGTGGTAGCCACTCATAATGGCAAAGCAATACAATGAGTCAAGTTGAAAATGTAATAAGAGTTAAATTTGGTACAATGCCATTAGAGCAGAAATTAGACACTAAACATTTGGGACCACACCAGCCAGAGGATTTCAACATCATTCAGTCTGGAAAGGACAAAAACTGTTCCTTCAGTCCAGAGGGGTTCAAGAGAAAAACGTGGCTAACTGCGAGTGTAGCTAAAAAACACCTCTGCTTTCCTTGCCTGCCCTTGCTATGTTATCACTTGAATTAATTCATGGATTGGTGGACTTAGAGATAAAAGTTTTTGACAAGTTTGCCCAGATGAAAGATAGTCATGCATCTTTTGTTTTCGAGCAGTGAATGTCACTGGTGAGTCCTTTTGCATTATTACAAGGCATGTTATTCTTGATGCCCAGAAATCAGTTTGTTTCCCTGTTTGTGTTTCTGTGTTTGTTTAGCAAAAGTAAGTAAGTCATATTGGTCCATTATTCAGATACATAACTGAAGAAGTAATGTTATAGTAATTCTCAAATTAAAAATTATTCTGAGTGACCACCATTCAGTATGTAAACAGTATGTAAAGGAATTAATCAGCAGCCCTTTTTTGATTTTATTTAAGCTAGTCAAACAGCTTCCTCTCCCTTCTAGCTAAATAAAAGATGTTTTACCTACTGCTCTACAGGTGAGCATCAACTTTTTAATGCAAGTTTAGTCGTTTGTACACTGCACTTGCAAATTTAATCTGAAGATGTTAACTTTTGACAGTGTCAGCTTTTTTTGATAAACTGGTCCAGTGTAAGTCCAATGTCAATCTCCTCACTTTTAGGAGACTCTTCAATTTAACATTCAGCTGTTGCTAAGGGAAATGATACATTCCACATGGATACAGAAGTGTTGAAATTGTGAGACGTCCTCTAACTGAGCAGTTTAACTAATCCTTTGAAATAATCCCAGTCATCTCCAGACAAAGCTATTTTTCTGAGTGAATCAAGTATTTGAGGCTGAGGCATCATGCCCTTGCAGTTCAGACACGTGCCATGCTATTTATAAACCCCACTGACAAATCTATCTAGTCAGAGAGAACCCAGTGCATGTACTGTTCAACCATGCAGCAAAAATAAGTCCTTGAGGGGCTACTGAAAAAGTATGCACTGAGTATTTCGTCCTTATGAAATTCTCATGAGTTGGCTTATAAAATTTTAATCTGACTAATGTTTTGCTTCCTCTTTATTTCCTGAGATTTCCTGCTTGTCAGCAAGCAAACGGTTGAAAATTCTCTTTGATGTGTGCACTGCACATTGCAGTTCTTTTACTGCCCGGAGACATTGACATTGGTTTTGCAACATGCAAATTGCCGGTGGATTGTCCTAGATTTCCATTTTATGTTGAGGCTTTTCTCTCTTCAGTTTCAGGCTGCACTTCAAACTGTATCATATACATTTCTCCAAAGACATAGCAGATCAATCTCATGTACAGGTAATATATGATAGTCTGCCCTAACAACATGTTGATAGGCTTAAGGAATCAATCATTGTTGTGTATTGTTATTTGTATTCTTGATTCTTGAGTCTGATTCAATTTGTCATTGCTAATATGGTTCAGTGAAGCAGTTTGTCATTGCTAATATGGCTCAAAGCAAAAGCACATGAGCAAAAACTGTATTACAAGACATGGAATGACTTTGCTGTTTCCGCATAAAGTCCACAGCTAACTGTGTTTACTTGATTGCCTAAAGAGGGCCATAATCAGTGACAAATGATGCATGTGGATCTGCATGCCAGTTTAAGGGATCCCTCACAGCTAGCTCATCTCATAAGAAGGACATCATTTTCTCCCAGCCAATGTGAACCCGTTGCAGTCTGGCTCTCTGGGTTCCTGTGCGTGATTGCTTCCTACTGAGCCTCTTCTGCCCACTGTTAATGTGTCATGCCATCTGATCTCCTTCCTTCACTCTGGCTATTTTTGAGCTCTCGGCTGCTTGCTCTGCAGAGGGAAACCTCAAGCCCAATCTTCTGTTTTTCATGGTGCCATTGTTTCCAGCTTCTGACCTGCTAATTCTAGATCGTAGATGAACTGGATGCAGTGTTTTGGCAATTCGTAAACTTTGCGTACAACTTGCCTAGAAAGGAATATCTGTACTGATGTCAAATTGGTATAATCTAGAAGCTATATTTCATCAGCTATAGCACTACTGAAACACATCACTTTGAAATACCCCACAAATTTTTGAATATTTAAATACATGTATGTTATATTTAACCACTATTGCTGAACACATTACCTGAAAGAAGCCACTTTCCAGTGTTTTCCAGTGTTTATTTAGGTTTCTTTGTAAAGCATAAATAAACACTTCTTTCTAAGTTACTGACATTTTGCAACTAAAATAGTGAGAAAACTAAAAAGTGCTACGTAAAGGTTATCATTTTTATTGTATTATTATTATTATTAGTAGTAGTAGTAGTAGTAGTAGTAGTAATTGCTATTATCTAAGTAACAACATTGGTGGCTTTATTTTAAACTACCACAATGACCTTTTAAGCAATGGCACTGCTAGTATTCAAAGTAGTGTCACTGTCCAAAAGAAAAAAACTGTATCCAAATTAGTAACTTTACAGGAGCAGACGAAACACTTTTTGTCTTTAAACACAGGTTTACGGAATGAGATTTTGTGCGAAATCATCATGAAATATTCATACACTGTGAAGGGCATCTGCGTGCTCAAATGATTTGGGAAAATGAAAATAGGAAAAATCTAGATTCATGGTTTGCTACTTTATGTATGCTACTTTACGTTTTCCTGTACTTTGCAAAATGACTACAACAGTACTTGCGATCATTCACATTCACATCTTGTTTCCTTTTCTTAAATAA